AATGGTTAGTGAAATTACATAGGTTTCAGGTGTACAATTCTATAATACATCATCTATATATCACATTGTGTATTCACCACACAGATTCAATTCTCCTTCCATCACCATATATTTGACCCCCTTTACCTCTTCTACTTTTAATAATTATTATGAAAAACTCAAAGAAAAACATGGGATATAGAATTCTAAGTTCATTATAATTTCAGTTATGAACATTTACACACTAAAAGAAGACTAGAGAAAATAATACAAATATGATAGTAATGTATTCTACTGAGCTTCTTGGCAGTCAAGGCAAAAAGGAAAAATAAAGGAGATTATAGTTTTCATAGATTAATATGTTTCATTGATTAATATTCACTTTTTTCTTGGCACTAGAGTATTTAGGTGAAATTACTGTGTGATTTCTGGCACTAAATTATGTAGCTGCAGTTACCATGTGTTTAAATTATATAAGTGAAATTAGCATGTTGAATAATAACATGGTGTCTTCCACTACAGTTTTAAAGAAAGAATAATAATTTTTGACTCTTTAGACAACCCTAAACATAGTGAAGGTTTCGCACTTAATTGTAAAGTGGTGAAGGCCTTTCTGTTGTTCTAAAAGGTAAGATAGGCCAGGTAAATGCTTCCTGGTGCCCCAGCTTCTAACAGAATAGAACCTAGATTGTTAACTTCATCTTCAGACCACCTCGCTCAAATCTCCGCTTTCTCCATGGTGCCTCGTAGGAACTGGAGAGTAGTTTGTCAGTATTATAATAGAAGCTGAAGTGTAGATCTTTTAAGGCCAATTGCAAGAGAATGAAATAAGTATTTCTTAATTACATGTGAACTCTTTCTTAGCATTCATCATAATCTCTTTTGTGAGCTGTTTTATACTTGGGTTTTTTAAAAGGGGAGTGCCTCTTTTTTATTTTCAGAGATAATGGAATCCCAAGTGAGTTAAGTTATGAATGAAGTTAAAGAGAAGAAAATTTTGCTTGTAGGTAGTAGAACCAAAGATTTAATGTCAAAGTCTTGTAAATTGCTGGTACAAATGGGGCACTTTATGAGTGAATTTTAAATTGAATTTTTATTGTTGTATTGATCTTCATGTATAGAGAGGAAGACAGAGTATTCACATTAATTCATTTAAAATAGCTCTTCTTGAGTCTTTTGTTATAGATACATTATAATCCTCTGAAACAAAATCCATAATAGTTTGGTTTATTTTTTTTGCCTGACAGTAATATAACTTTAACCTGAATAAATTATTCATACCTGAGTATTATTTTCTGATCTATAGAAACAGGAACACTGTCTGCCTTCTGCACTTTCTGGGCTCTTATTGGAGCTAGGCACCTCCCAGTGGAAAGAGAATAGAATCTGAGCCCTGGTCAGGCCATTTGCTCACCTTGCGCCCAAGCAAGTTATTGGAGTTTTCCCGGGTTCCATTCTCTCCCTGAAGATGGTGATGGAAACACCAACTTCACAGGGATGCTGTCAAGATGAAAGAGGGTAATGTGTGGACTTACCTCTAACCATGTTTCCATGACGGCTTGTACTAAAGTGTGGAATGCAGCAAGCATTCTGTGTTCCCAGCCCCCAGGCACTGGTGTCGTGGCTTCCCTATGGCTGGGGTCACAGACAGTTCATAGACAGCCTTGGGTGGATCTTGGGAATGTTTTAATTGACTGCATGTTGCCATTTGACACCAGAAGAGCAGACTATAACATTTTACAAGCTAAGTTCAAAGGAATAGATTTTCCCCAAAGCTTTGTATAGTCAAGGTTCTCTTTCTATAATACAGTATCTTTCAGCTCTAATATTTTAACAACCCACATGCAATAGCAAACATACTAATTTCAAGAAAGCCTGAGGAGGAGATTTGATTCTTTCCATGAATCCAATCTGGGCTCCTTTCCTGTTAGACTTTTGGCATTTTGTGACCTATAGTACCTCAAGTTAGGCTCACAGAGTTCCACCGGGGACTTTTGATGTGCAAGTTCTCAGTTGAATACTTCACATCAACATGTGTCCTTGTCATTTACCATAATCCTAGATTGCATAATCCCTACTTAGCAACCAGGGTAAGGAGGCCATGATATCCACAGCCAGGCACTAAAGTCAGGAAGAAGTGAACAACACCTTATGGCCATTTTGTATGTCGGGAAAAAAGAGAATATAGTAGAGTATATTATCTGTAATAAATACATTTGACCAGGAAAACAACCGAGCAGAAGATGGGTGGGGAGGAAGCCATGGTTTGTCGTGTTTTTAAATTCTCTGCCAGAACAACTCACCTTTGCTCTGTTTTAATATCCTTCTACTTTGAACCTACTTCAACAATGTCTCTTTTGTGAAGAAATTAGTTATCTTCCCCATTTCTAGGTGTTCACTGTTGTTCCCGAATTAGAAGTTAAATCTGGTAGGGAAATGAATCACCTTTCATGTCTCTGAAAGGAATGGAGCGTATGTGACCATCTGTGTGAGCAAATCGACAAGGACCCTTTCTGGTCACTTAGCAGTTCACGGCACAAAGCTCTGGGAGGTTTAGCCATGTTCTCTCACCAGTTGTCTTGGAAACTTACATTTAGAACATGGTCCCTGACATTTGTTCTGTATTGAAAGAATCACAGCTGATTATAATTGAAGGGTGGCATGATGTCTTTGAGTACACCTTTTCAATGTTTTTCTCAGAAGTCACTCTATATAGGAGGGAAAAAAATTTTCCCTCTACGCTTCTGAGTTCTTAGCTGAGACCCCTGTAATAAAAGACAGATTAACAAGAGAAGAACAGTTTATTAATGTGTGTATCTCTTATACACATGGGAGATACCCAGGGAAAAAATGAGGAACTCTAAGAGGTAGATTAAGAATTTAAGCTTAAATTCCATCTTAATAGGGGAAAAAGAGGGCAGTTGTAAGCCTCTTAAGGGAGAGTAAATGATTGTTAGGAAGATGGGGGATGCTTAGAAGAATAGATGGGAGACATGATGGTTTGTGACAAAGTTTGTCTAGGTGTGCTGTGGACTTCTAGTCTCTCTCACGATAAGAGTCAGTCTTCTCTGGTTGATGAGCCTCCGGAGAAGGCTTTATGACAGTTGAGTCCTTTGTGAAGGATCTGTCTTTAGGTAGCAAATAAGGGGAGTTCAGAGAAAGCCTTTCCCTGTATTTGCTGTGTTTCAACTGCCTACAGCTGAAAATAATCAACATGCCCAAGTGGCATATGTGAGAGTGGCATGTTCTGCTGCCCTTTACACTAAATAGTCTAATGTTCAAAACTGAAAATTTTGGAGGCCCTGTTGAAATGAAGCATATCTAATTTCAGACTTAATTCCTTAGGTATATGTAGGAAATTATAAGATCTGGACATTATGTAATAAATATTATATTCCACCCCCACTACCCCTGCCCGCCCTCCCAGCCAAACCAAACCAAACCAAACAAACCTACGCAGTCACAAGTATTCCCTGGTTGCAGGCTTCCCAGAGTGGTGGCATGGATCGAGACCATAAACTTCTGTTGTTTTCCTGTCTGATAAAATTTATAGGATGGCTTTCCCGTTGGCCTTTGCATAAATTAGAATTATTTACTTATTGTTGGTTGAAAATAAGATCCCCATGGTCAAATTATGTCAGAGTAGTTCCTAGTTAACATAACAATGAATGAGCCAGTGACAAGAACCTCCCTGTAAGGTTTAAAAAAAAGACCATAAACATTTTCATGCCGTAGGAAACTTCAGTCAGTCTCACAGTATTTCAAATCATAGTTCACCTTTGTACGCCTTCTGGCAGGCTCCAAGCCCTCACCTACACAAGTTAACAGACCTCCCCTCTCTTTCCTAGTCCACACTCGTTTCACATCTTTGGTTACTTTGGGCTAAGGTATGACTATCAGAGTGGGGAGAGCAGAGCAATGAAGCACTCAGATCCCTCTCCCCTTAGTTTGTATCTCTGTGGAGAAAGGCAGCATCACACTTATTAGTAGACTCTGGTGGCACCCAGAGACCATTTCCTGGAGGTGCTCAGCCCAGGAGAGGTTGAAAGACCGGTTGGTGAGGAGAGGAAGGGTTGACATGGACCCCGTTGCCTCTGCTCGTTCCTGGGTCCGGTGCCCTCACACTCAGTTGCCTCATTAGCTGTCACTATGAAGTGTCTTGTCCCACAGCCTCTGGAGCCAGCACATCCACGAAGTGGCAGAGCTGGGATGCAAACCCAGGTCTCTATTCCAAAACTCCTGCTTCTTTCTTTTTATAGGAGGGATCCTTTTAAATATTCTTTTAAAAACCTCTTCCTGTCCTTATTAGGTAGTTCATAAATGAAAGTTTGGGCAAGCCCACCCCAGGAAAATAGGGAAAATATTGTTTTCTGTCCTGGAATTAACAGTGATGTATGTGTAATTTAGAGAGAAGCACACATGTACAATAGTGGGTGCACGTTCAGGGTATTTGTGAAGGACAACGTGATGCCCCAGCTATGAAGCCCCCTCTCTTTTAAGGTTTTAGTTTGCCAGTGCAGTCAGAGCTCCATAACGAGCAGCTCCCATGTTATTTTTGGTGGTTTGTTTTCATGTGCTCTGGCATTCATCCCTAGGTGTAGATACGTGTATTGTCTAACATCAGGAAGTTTGTTTTTCATGTATCAGTCCACTTACTTGGAATCATACTTAAGTTGATTTTTAAACTTCTTAGATTGTAGAAGTGGCAGCAGCAGAAAACCAGGCTTTTACCTAAACAGGAAAGTAGACTTTACCTAAGAAGCAATTACATTGCCTTGTAATCATACGTGGAATTACTTGTTTGTGTGTGTAATGCCTTGCTTGTGTATGGTAAATAGAGTGTTTGAAATTCATGTAGTATAGACACTTTTGAAATTTGGAAAAGATTAGTTTTCTAGTGCTAGTTTATTAATTTTTAGGTATTAAAATATATGACAGTGTATACTGTGCCTTGATTTTGAAAGAGATACTTTGTCATTTAAATTCTAACTTACCTTGTTATTTTATTCTTATTTTTTTAGGGAATATCTTGGGAAACAGCTCCAATCTGAGCAACCTCAAACTGCTGCTGCTCGAAGCTGAACCTTACCATTTAACCTGTGACGGAACACCTGGAGTGTGAATCTCAGTGGTTACATAATTTTTCATTTTACTTGTAATTTTCTTCTGTTATGTAGCTTTTCCCACTGCTAATCTGATAAAAGTGTTTGTCCATTAAGTTGTATAAAGCAGACGCTTTCTGTATCTAAGGAAAATATTACTGTTACATATACTGCTTGTAATTTCTGTATTTATTGTTCTCTGGAAGTGAATATGGTTATTAAAGGATTCTCACTCCAAATATAGTTTTCTCTTTACTAGTTCCTTGCTTAGACTTTAACAAATATCTCTATTGTCTCAACAAAATTGGGAGAATTGTTGCAAAGTAATGAATGGCAAATAAATGTTTTGAAATTCTATGTATTTGTATGCGTCCATCCATCCATCCATCCATCCATCCATCCACCCTCCCATCTGATACACATACACACATACACATTGCAGCAGCCTTCTGCTAATATTTAGAGAGCTTTAAAATTCCAAATTAATTTTTAACATGATGCTATGGTCAAAAAGATTTGCTTGTGGACCTTAATGAAGAATTTTAGTTAGATTGTTTTTATTTCATTTATTTCTTGGATTTTTATTCTTGGATTTTAGTGCCTGAAATGTTTTCTTTTAATACTTTTTTGTTTGATTAAGTATTGCCAATCGATATTTTATTTCTATCACTCCCGTCTTTATTCTGTAGCTACAGGCCTTAAGCATGGCATACATGGTATGTAGGTTCCCCTCCCCAACTCCAAATTTAAGCCTTTTGTTTTTTAACTTCAACACCTGATCTCTCTGAGTCTCCTTTTGAATTTATTTTCTCTATTCATTCCTAAAAGTTTTCTGGCTGTCAAGTTGTTGAGTAAATGTGTTAAGATTAATAAACTATTTTGGTAAGTTCTTTCTTCTATAGAAGGATACTCATTTTAAGGATCAAAGATTATTTCATTGTCTTTTTTTTTCTTTCTTTTTTTTTTTTTTTTTTTTTTTTTTTTTTTTTTTTTGTTAGCTGAGCCATCCTGCCACCTGTTGGCAGATCAGCGGCAGCTCAGCTCAGGCCGCTAATCGAACTGAGATTGTTTCATTTTCAACATAGACATTGTGTGAAAAAAGTTATTTAAAATGATGGATGTTTTTCTTGGTCAGTAAGTTCATGTGATTTTTCTCAGTGATTTTTCTTAAAGAGTTGATGTCATATTTGCCAAGAAAATAGGTAATCGGATCAAACCAATTTTTTCTTGATTGAAAGTTTTAAATTGTGTAGACCTAGATCTTTTTACTTTTCAAAATATGGAAAATACTATACAGAACTTTTCTCAGTGGTAATTACAGATTCTGCATTATCAAAGGATCATTTTCATGTTAATGTATTAATGGTCTATAAAATTATTAGGTTTTAAGACATTCAATTTCTATAAGTTCTGGTAACCAGAGACACTGCAATCCTCTTAATTTTATAAGTACACATTGATTCTTTGATAGCACCCTGATTTTAAATATGTATTTTAAATCTACATTCTGATTTTAGTTTCATTTTGCATAGCCCTGTAGTTCTAAAGTAGATATCAGTGACAATCATTCTGGTGGAAATTGTTAGTGTTTCATTCCCAAAAATGCTTTCATACATGGGAAGCAGTACTCCTATGTCCTCATGTTTTAATTATTATCCCATATTAAAATTTCACCCTTTTTCCCTTCAAATATTTACTCAGCTTACAGAACTTAAAAGTTATAACAGCAATCACATTTATTTTTGCTTAATGTTTTTTATTAACATTCAATGGTTAAATCCTTCTAAAAATTTAATGCCACTACATGTTCAACTAAACTGCAAACACCTAACAGAGTAGACTTATAAATCTGACACACAAAATCAAAGTAGTTAATGCTTATTAATCTACTCAGGAATATATAGTAGAACAAATTCTGTTAAGCATTTTTAAGCATCTTACAAAACAGCCTAAACAAAGACCACAATGATTACAAAATGTATTACTCCACCTGTACAAACACAATTTACATACAAAAAAACAATATTATAGGTTTGAAGAATTGCTTCATTTTCCCTGTATGTCTTTTTATATATTTCTCTTTTAAAATCCTTCTGTGTTGGGCCAGCCGAGTGCCGCGTTGGTTAAGCAGTGGGACCCCGGTTCGGATCCCACATGAGGGCCAGTGACACTGCCCTCTACAGCTAAGATGGTGAACAACAGCTCAAACTGGAGCTGGGCTGCCATGAGTCGCTGGCGATGGGTTAGGCTGCAGCCCCTGCTGCAGTGGGTTGCCGTAAGCTACCGTGTATGTGGCTGGTAGCCAGTGTGAGCTGCCAAGAGCCGCCGTGAGCGGCCATCCAGAAGCCGGCGACTGATCTGCCTCACTCGGGAAGAGCGCAATGATAATACCAACATGGGCCAGTGAAGCAACGTCCTCCACAACTAGACTGAAGAACAAAAGGACAGCA